TAAAATAAATCAATATTGTATATGTAGGTGATTTCAATAAGATCTAATTTTCAAATATTATATTGTATTTCAATTAATTGAATAGAAAAAATTAATCAGAGTTAAAAGAATTAATCATCGGAAGATATTGAAGAAAATATGTGAAATCGCATAATTATAGAAATTATATTTATTTGTAACATTTTATCTTTTCAGATAGTCAAGGCTCTTCTACAAACGGAATGCAAATGTCACGGTGTATCCGGATCTTGCACCGTAAGAACGTGCTGGCGAACGTTACCCAGTTTTCGTCAGATTGGCGATGCGCTTATGAAAAAATACAGAAGAGCTAAACCCGTCATGGCCATTACACCACCTCCCCCACCCACAGTTCAGGTAGCTTGTTCTAGCGAATAAGTCTATTGTGAATAAATCAACGATCAATTTAAAACACGAGATTAATTCAATATACATATAAATCAAATTCAATTCAATAATGGTTTAGTTTAATGGTGTTCTTATTGCTATTATCTGAAATTTAATGCAGCTTATATCATTTACAGACCCTGGATGCAATGTCGCATTCAATGTTACCAGAAATGGTGCCCATATTGGGAAACGATGCCAAAACACAAGGCAAGCCGAACGATTTCGCCAAATCGCGGCACAATCGACAGCCACTGTTGAAGAAAATCAACAAGTCCAAGAAGTACTTAGTACTTTCGACACAGAAACGGTCGAAAGACAAAGATGGTAGCCCAACTATAAGCTCGATTATAAACCCGAAAAGAATTCCAAAAAGAAGTGAGCTAGTTTATCTTCAACCCTCCCCCAATTACTGTGAGCCGGACTTGGCGCAAGGTAGCCTCGGTACACAGGGCAGATATTGCAATCGTACTAGCACAGGTAAGAGAAAGAAGTCCTGATACGAAGTTTCATAATTCCATGGATAATATGCTGTCTTATTAAACATTATAATGTTTATTTCCAAACAAATCAGCTTGCTGATTCTTGACACATTTCTATTTCAAATATTTAATTTCATTATCGAGATATTCTATTTAAAAAAATTCGCTAATTCTTCAATAAGAATTTTTTCTCGCTTACGAAAACGGTAAAAATCTTTGTCTGTTTTTAGAAACCGATGGATGCGATTTAATGTGCTGCGGTCGCGGCTACAATACACATCAATTCACGAGAACGTGGCAATGCAGATGCAAGTTTCACTGGTGTTGCCGCGTACACTGCGAGACTTGCATGGAACGCACCGAGGAATATACATGCAAATAATACTATTATCAGCGTACAATGTGTATATAGATTTGCGAAATAGTACATGTAATTATATAAATGTTAGACTTTATCTTCAAGAGTAAAAAGAACGAATTGACGCATGAGAAATGTTAATATTATACGTGATTGCAAAAACAAAACTATATCTATAAGAATATCATAATTTCAAAACTATATACATATATGAGGATTTCAGAATTATATCGAACAATGTTCTTCTTGATGATGTTAAAGTTGATAGGAAATATCTTGTAACTTTTTCAAGCCTTTATGAAATTCCGAGTTATATGTAGAGGTTTATAGTAGTTAAACATTGGATATTAAAACAATCAAATCTAAAAATGGATTATTAAGCGCGTAAACATCGTTCTATATGCTGACTTTAGATGCTGAGAGAGAATTGCGCAAATTTCATCCCGCTTTTATTTTCTATTCTGTATTTAGGGATGGGATTAAGTTCAATACGTATTTATGAAATTTAGTCAATGTCTAAATATCGTTTCGTCAATATCAGGTAATATAAGATAATTAAAAAATAAATAATATCGAGTTTTATAAGAATTATGGATGCATTTCAAATAAGAAACGTAATCCAATCCAAATCAAGTACCTACCAATTCATATTGATATTATTTAGAATAGAATAAATTATTTATGCAGCACTTTACTCGCGAGCTAAATGCTTCCATTTTTTCATGATTTTGTTGAATAAGATAGAAAGAAAACAAAAAACGATAAATATCAGAGCTAGCCAGTCTCTATTCTTTTTTTTCTCTCTATCTTACTCAATGATAAAAAGATAAAAGCATTTGGTTTTGCAAAATTTTCGAGTCTAAAGTAATAAAGTTTCCTAGGTCTGATCTAGAACATATTTTATATAATATCGATATTATTTAGAATATATTCAAATTTTCAAAAATATACACTGATATTGTTCTAAATATATAATATCAGCGTTTCTACTCGATATCTACGATATGCACTTTTCTCTAATAATATAACTTATTTATCATTAGAATTCTTGCTACAATGCGTAGTCGTATAATGCGGAAATTACTATATAATAAATAAAATTCTGTAGCATGTACGTGTTTTGTTATTTCGATTTCTTGTAGCATTTATTTCTCACTATCTGTATTGTCGATATTCTTTGCTTTTAAACGACAAATTCTTTCTATTTTTTTATATATAGAATTATAAAATAATAAATCTTTTAAAATTAAAAAATAAGATAAAGAAGCTTTTGTAATATTGACGCAATGTAAATTGAATCCATCCTTAATCGAAACAATTTTTTAAATTTAATTGGTTAGAATTTTTTTTAATCTATTAAAAACTATAAAACATTAAAAATCAAATCATCAATAGTTATTTTATTACTTTCCAAGCACATTGGATGAAATATGTTACTCGATCTCTAAATTTTTTGGAGTGAAATTCTCTAAATAGAGAAAATTGAGCCAATCTTGAAACGAAATGATTCAATTTTTAATTTTTAAAAATAAGATTTTCTTCTCCAGAATAATAATTCACTTTGAAAGTTTAGAGAACATATTTAATTAATTTAATTAATTTATAATTATACATATATATGTATAAATAATATAATTATATATTGATTTTATATATAATTATTCTATATTTTACTTTATATAATTAATATAATTATATTAATTTATAAATTTAACTAATTTTTTATTCAAATTACGTCTAACCAATTAATATTCATAAATCCATCATCTCATCGTAAAAGTTAAATAAAAAAAAGTACTCACCCATCGACGCGACGCGACGCGACGCTGGCGACGCTCTGCCAATAAATCCGACGTCCATCCCAAGACTGCTCGCTGCACATGCATTTTCACGAAGCAACACTCGCGAAAACACGGAAACCGAGACCGAACTAATAGTAACAATACCACAATATATTTTATTACACTCCCGAGACGAAACGATCGACGCATTATGGCGTTCTCGCGTTGTTCAAGTCTAACGACTTGCCGAGAGATTCGAATATCGCCAACTTCACACCGATGTCGCGCGGATACAACGCGAGTCGAATCAGCAACCGATTGAAACCGAGCGAGCCGTTTGAAAATATACACCCGCTTGTGACGTTGAACTCCGAGTCCGTAAATTCGATAAAACGCAGTTAAACGATCAACACATCCCTTCATTTCGTTACGTTTACGCGATCCGTCATGAAAAATGCACGAACTAGTTGCTTTAGTTATCGGCGCAATTCTCGTGAATTATTGAATAATACGGAATACGCGCACACAAAATGCATTTGAATTCAAGTCTCCTTCGAGAAATATCGTTCATCAAGTAAAATCAACGACAAATGTTAATCTAATCTATTCTTGTTCCCCCCGAATATATTTCTAGAGATAAAATAAATTTCCCACGCGGGAAACGTCCGCCTCGCAACGAACAACCGACGATTTGACCCGCGTTCACTGATCGTACGAATGGCGAGAGTCAACGTAGATGAATAATTCGACAGATAACGGAGAACAAGGTATCTTTTTGATATCTCTAATGTCATATACTTACCGCGGCGCGTTTTGCAATGTAATATAGTACGCAATAGGCCAGTACGTTATTGTCGGCTCGTTCGGCTGCCTGCCGACTCGAGTGGCGCGACAAGAATGATGACGCGGGTGACCTTCCTCGCGAGCGGGGCTTAAATGACGAGCGGGACGGCGCGCGATATAAACAAATGACGTCGCGCGCCAACCGTCGCTCGCCGACAATAACAATTTTTAATTAATTTTTCTATGGAATTAATCTACACCGAATATTTCGTTTCTTATATTTCGATAACTTTTATTATCATATACATCGCGAATTGTTTTATGAATTCACTTTTTATGTACCACCTAAAACGGCAATTAGTAATTACATTCATTTAAGTGTTTAAAAATATATGGAATATAATCATTAAAATATGCATATAATGTAAAATGTTTGTACAATATATAAATAAATTTCACATGTAAATTAATTTTAATACTTTTTTTAAATATAATTTTGAACGATTAGTATTTAGTTTTTGTTCTAAAAGGAATTGGTAAAATTATAAAAAATTGATGTGTAATTAAAAGTTCAAATTTATATCCATTTTAAGAAAAAATATATTTATTTATATCTTCAAATATTTTCTTACATGAAAAGTAATTTTTAATTATTAAATCAAAATTAATTAATTAATCAAATGATAATTTTAATAAATCAAAACGGTTTCGCGACACAATTGTATTCTTTTTTTTTTTAAATAATTAAAATTATACAGTTTTAATGCTCTCAAAATATAAAAAACTAGAAAAAATAGAAATGCTAAATTAAATGTTGTAAATTATTTTCTGATTAAGACGAAGATAAACCATATTTCTTGAGTATTTATATTATTGCTGACATATCATATTTATATTAAATTTGAAAAATATTAATTTCAAAACGATGAAAATTGTCCTATGTATCTTCGTATTTTCGCAAACAATTCTTTTAACTTATAACTAATTGATTATCACATAGAATAAATATCATTGATGTAATCATTATTCTATAACATTTATTAACTTCTTTTAAATGTATATAAAATATCTTACTGTGGTCCCTGTGTTTAATAATAATAAATAAGTAAAAAATATATTAAATATGTAAATAAACATCTATTTATATAAATACGTATATATAATAAATATCAATTGCGTATACGTATAATTATAGTCATGATATAGTTATGGTATTATTCTCAATAAATTTATTTTTTAAACAATAAAAACGTTGAAAATATCCAAATAATTCCCTCTTACATTTAAAAAATGCAGTTAAATATTTCTCTGTATATAGGTATTATTTTGAAACACTGTTTAATATTTTTTGTGCTTCTTGTTTCGCTTGTTGATCTTCATCATTCTTTGCAGGAAATTCAGCAGTTTTTTTTAAATACTTTATTGCTTCTTCCTTACGATTCAATTTCAGATATGTCTTTCCTAGCATTAGTAAATTGTGACTGTAGAAATTTGGATCAGTTTTTTCAGCAGCCTCAAAATACATCAACGTTTCTTCAAATGTCGAAGTTGGTGGTTCTCCAAATACAACAGATGCTATTTTTCGTTGATACCACGTCAAATTTGAAACCTCGTAGCACCAGCTTCCAACCATATAAAGTAACGTTGCATCACTAGGGTTTAACTCTAACGCTCTCTAGAATAAATAATAATAACAATTTAAGATCAGTGATTGGTGAGATCATTTTCATTCTTGCACTATCTATAAAATATAATATCTCACTATTTAAATTGCAAAATAATATCCATAATTGAAGTAATTATTTATCTTACCAACATATGTTTTTTAATATTATACGATTCTTTTATATGTGCCTTTGTACCCTCCAAAATACTTTTTTTATTAAGAAATATAGATATCCATTTATGCAAGGCGTAGTGATTTTCTTGAATAGCAAGAGCTTTGCGTAACAAATCATATCCCTCATAAATTAACTTTTGTGCTTCAACATCACTGGCCATTTCAGACATTTTATAAATGGCTCTACTTAAACGCCATAAGATTTCAACATCCTTACTGTCCTATGCAATATAAAAGACATGTTATTATTATACATAAGTTGCATACAACATATATATTATAAATAACAATAAATAAAGAGCAAACACATTTCTTTAAAAAAGTCACACAATTAAAAGAATAAATTACAAATAGAAAAAAGTAAAAAATATATAATAAAATAAAAGCTCAATTTAAATACAAATTACAAGTTTCGGCTACCGAATTGAGCCCTCTTCAGACATTAACTTATCGAAAAAAATCGCAGTACAAAATTAATTATCGGAAATGTTCGCATATTCACTATAATCACAGTTCGGGTAAGTCTTGATGTAGAACTCTACATTATTTATATACGATTAAACAGTCAAATGTGTTTCATATCTCTTGGAAAAGTTCTAGTTGATAAAAAAGATAAAGACTTCTTACGAAAAAATAGGCGCGACTAAATTAATATACCAAAAAATTTATTTTTTCTCCCCCCTATTTCTAAGAACAATGTAGTTTATAAGATATCGT